ACCGTCATGCAATTTGGTGAAGATCCATCTACAGAGGCTAAGTAGTGGTAAAAAACGCCAATAAAAACCGCAAAATACAAAACTGAAAATGTGTATGTATCTCCCCATTGACCCAATGAACCTCCAAACCAAATTTGGTGAAGATTCATGTGCAGGGGGCGAAGTAGTGGTAAAAATCATAAAAACCGCAAAATGAAAAACTGAAAATTTGTATGGACTTAATGAACTTCCATACCAATTTGGGTGAAGATCCACCAACACCATGCGAAGTAGTTGCATGGACATACGACAGACAGTACTATTATATTTGTATAAATATTCTGTGTATCCGATAATAAAAAAGGTTTTCAGTTATGCCAATAGGGTACTTCCTTTAATTAAATAATATAGATAATTCAACAGATCTATCTTTCGCTTATAGATGCATTTTTTTCAAAACGAATTCGTAATATAGTTTGTGTATTTATTTAACTATTGTATTTGTTATATATGTTAATTAAACAACACTTAGTAAAAACAATAGAGTATTTTATAATCCAATCTTTGAAATTTTCACACCCTGTTACTTCTACTAATTAAATCTTACTAGCTTAAAAATATTGATATAACAAGCGTTTTTTTTATATATTCAGCTATTTAGACTTCGAATTGTGTTGATTTTTTAACAACATGATAAGAAGTGAGCACTGGGTGCGAGATTGCATTTCCACTGCCATGTGCATTGTGAGATATATATATATATATATACAGTATATTATAATCATCACCGTTATTTTACTACATTCTGATTATTCTCCGTCACCATGAGTAGTTTGTAACGATCTTATAATACGAGAAAAAAAAACAAACTAAAAAGCCAGAAAATTAAAGATTTTACTTGCTCATATACCAAATACTGATGGTTCTACCAGAAACTGTTAACGTACACAGTTTGCAAAGAGAAATAATATAAAGAAGAAAAATTATTTTCTGTTTAATGATTATAAGAAAGCTAATAAAATTTCAACTCGTTTTAAGCTTCGGAATAATATTTTGTATTCTTCAAACATGGTTGTATATAGGTCGTAATATCATAACAAAACATTTTTGTGAGATTTGCTTTTTCTCAGCCTCTCATCCTATTTCATAAATAAAATGGCTTTTCTGGTGATCTGCTTTACAAAATACAGAGAAATAAAGTGGCATATATTACTGGTTGTACATTGTCAGTTAATTTGGCTTTTCGAAACTTGGATTAATGAAATCGTCAGTGAGAGAGAGTATTTGTTATAAAATTGCGATTAGAATTCTTCAAAATTCTCTCCTTTTAGTTAAAACTTCTAGCCAATAAACGTATTTCAGAATCTATCAGGTTACGTGTTTGTGCATAAGATCACTGTATAATTGTGCCAGTGGCCTTTCTCAACACTGACAGTATGATAATGTTGTATAGGATGAGCGTAAGTAATAACGATAAAGTTATTAATATATGTTCGAAAGATAGAACCTTTAGGTATTTCAGGTACCGCTGTACATTAACGCTACATGCGTGAAATATCATGGCAGAGACTGGCCCGCTGTGAGTTTCAACACATTCAGAAATGTTAATGTACATTTAACATAATGTTTTTAAAGTGAACTCAGACTATCATTGACTTCTGTTAATGGAGTAAAATAACGTCTTGCAGTATTTCAAACGAAATGCATTTATTTAAATTTGCTAAATCGATTGTTTGTTTCAGAATTTTCGCGCAAAGCTATACAGAGGGCTATGCGCATTGCTGTCCCTAATTTTGGTTTGATAGACAAGGGAACAGGCAGCTACACAACAGCACTTATTGCCAACTCTTGGTTTACCAAATAATGGGATTTGACCGTCACTTTTTCAGCGCACCCGCGGGCCCAAAGTGTGGAGCGCGTTTTTTGACACTGGGCTGTGATCCTTTGGATTCACAGCCCGAGCATACGGCTAACAACTATTCATACACGCTCGTAACTGAATGGAGGTCATGTGGTGGCTTCTTGGTTTTTCTGTGTATGTATCGCACGTTTACAGCATTGGAAAAAAAGTGTGAAATAAGTTGATACCCTGCACTCATTGCTGACGTACATGTATGATAAGTTACTTCCTTCATAATTAAATGCATAGGATCATTGTACGAAAAGAGAAGTAAACGGTAGCGTTCAATGATGGCCTTAGCAATATTTTATGTAGGTCAAGGCGTTTGACGTGACTGCCAAGAAATTAATAGTACAAGAACAGTATGCGTTAAACGCATGTTTTGGTTTCTAAAGCGTTCCAATGATACGAGAAGAGGTAAGTAAATAAACGTGTGCTGTAACGGTGATCACATAATTTAATAAATACTGAGGCAACCTTTTTTAATGCTTTCAGAACGTTTTGTATCATCTCAGAATAGATGTAAGTTCACTATATTCAATTTACTAACATTATGCAAATATATAGTTATAAATTATAATGTAACTGTACGATTAATTTTGCAAGTAGCAGACGTCTGGGACAGGGCTTTCCCAGTATTATAACTTAATTATATGCAGTAAGCCTATGTGACATAGGTTTAATTTTCTGTTCAATATGTATCTTTACCGCTATCTGGCACGTACTGCATGACCTTTATCAAAGTTTATGTTGCTAGGACAGTTTTTGCCTGAAATTTAACACTTCGTATAATAATTTTTTTGTTTTGTTCTTGAACATTTCAATACAAAAGTTGTTTAAAGCACTATTAACTGAGAATTTTGTCATTTCATGAAGCCTCAGTGTTTTTGAATATCAGTAAAACAAAATGTGGTAACAAAATAAAATAACTTCAAAACTCCCCAACTGCTTGTTGTTTTTTTTAACATTTAGTACTATCACAAACTATGTGACCAGAGACGTGTAAAGTTTAAGTCACCAGTGTTTAAGTTGCTTCTACTTGTAAATCTAGTTAATAAATACTTTGTCTATAATGGTAGCTTTGAGCTCAAGTACCCAGGTCAGGTTTCCAGTGAGATATTTCCTTACAAGTTACAGACAGTAACAGAAGCACATGTCATGAATATTTTTTTTGGGGGTTAAAGCACTTTTACCATATAGGCTTACTTCAACAGTGGTATAAAACTTAAAAACTAATCCACTATTTTCTAGATCTGCAGATTTCACTTTAAATGGCAGTGTACACGTATTTTGATTTAATGAGTATTCTTTATTATTAAGTAACTGGTATGTGTTAGTGAAGAGATGGATTGAAGTTCCAGTGCATGGTTTTATATTCTACAGATTAAAGTGACTAAGAACAGTACCATTTGGTAAGTACTAAGCTAGTTTGGGCTAATGTACTGTAGGAGAGTTAGTTGCATTTTTTAAAGAATTTTAAAGATAATTCCAGCTTAATGAAGTTGAGATGCAAAGTGCAGTACTTTTCAGAATGATATGGTTAAAAATTTGTGAAAGTGCACAGAATTGGCGGTAGTAAGTATTTTGAATAATCGATAAGCAAGTTAAAGGTGTAAAGTCTGACAATGTATTTGTTTTTTGTATAATGCTTTAATTTTTTAGATTAGATTATAAATTATGAAAGTGTCACCTGAAAGAATAGAGTATAAAGTTAATGAACAATTTTTCTTAAGTATGTTGAGAATTATATTATTAAAATTTAAATTTCATTGATTATCATACTATATTACATTTTTCTCATGAATTCCTGGTGCGTAGATGATTAACCTTCAAGAAGCTCTCTGGTCCTATAAAAACTATTTGTAGAACAAGATACATAAAACTTTGCTCCTGGGAAAAAAATAAATCTCGTGCAACAGCAGACCTAATTCAGTATGACGTCGCACTATCACATGGATGACAGAAGTCCCCGTTCATCTCCATCATACTTCCATGGTGAACCTGAAAGTTTACCCATGCAGTACGGTAAGTTGCATGAAACACAAAACCCACTGAATGTTTGATATTGAAGATTGTTGTTGTTGTTTTTCTTCTTCTTTTTTAGCATCATCTTTTTTGAAATGTTCACAGGTTTTTACATTAAGAACCATATGTACATTAGTGGTATTCAAATGTTAACAGAGTATTAGTTACACAGTTTCCTTTGCCAACTTTTCTTACTAAAAATATCCACCTGAAGCAAAGTATGTTTCTTTATCTTAACTTCCTTATGCACTGAATATTTTGACATGATGTAATTTCACACAACCTGTTATATGGAGTTTTGTATTTTGTGAATAATCTTTTCCATAATTTTTTTAATTTGCTAAACATAGGTGTAGCAAGGAGTAAGAAAGAATAATATAAAATTGAATGTATATATATATGACTAATAATGTTATTATAGAAATTAAAAGAATCATATTTTTAATTTGATAGTATTACAATTTGCAAAATTACATTTTTTTTTTCTTGAAGAAAATATTTCTCGTGTTTTTTTAATGACTCAGAATGATAGATGTCTGCTTTGTTAAATTAAAAAGGATAAGTAACACATATTTTATATAAGATATTTTTACGAGACAGTAAAACTTAGATGTCAAGAAGTATAATGATCAGTGAATATGAATAAGTTAAAGTCTTGAGTAATGCAGAGTACTTATTGAAGTGAGACTGATTAGTGATTGGACTGAGATATACAAATTGTTTTGATTGTGAAAAGAGGTAAAATTGTGGAATTATGATTTACATAAGTCGGAACTGCTTAATATATGTGTGGCTCGAAATAATTATTTGTTTTTATTCCTAAAGAAGTTTGAATGTCACCCATTGATCCCAAAATAATTTATCTTTTAAGAATAAATGTATACAATGGTAAAAGCATTTGTATGTTTTTTATGAGAAATGCAAACACACACACACACACACATATACATATATATATATTAATTGATCGTTTTGAACAGTTTAATAAGTTATGGTTTCTTTATATAAAGTGGGACAGTTTGAAGACAGAGGTTCTCAACATTACATAAACCCCACAGAATTGACACAAAATTATCGTCCACAAGCTTTACGTAGACGCTGTTCATCAAATAGCGGGAGCACAAGTGGACCTGATGAACCTCATCTTAGGAGAAACTATTCAAGTAATACACTGGAAAGTAAAAGTAGTAGAATAAAGAAATATTCATCCACAACTATGGACCTCATTCGACAACTTCCCTCGAGGCACGATGGTAAATAAATAGTTTATTTGATGAATGTCTCTTTAGTAATTTTGTTTGTTTAAGGGACGATTTTATTGTAGCAGATCTTTTAGTTTGTAAATAACAAAATTTAAAATGTTTAGAATGTAAGATAAAATATGCATTAGTTGTTTCACATAATAAAAACAGAAGAAATTAAAAAAGAAAACTATAAAAAACCTGTTATATCCAGCTGGTGTTTTTCATATAACATCCAGATTGAACACCATTTTTTGTTATTATTTAAAATACTAATGTTGAAAGTTTTGTCTGTCATGTAATATAAGTTACTTGAAATATTCTTCATACCGAAATGCCCATATTTGGGGAGCTTCTTAAAAAAAAATAAAAATTAAAAGCCTTCATGTAGTATACTTACATCAGGGCTCAACCTTAACATATAGTATACTTACATCAGGGCTCAACCTTAACATATAGTATACTTACATCAGGGCTCAATCTTAACATATAGTATACTTACATCAGGGCTCAACCTTAACATATAGTATACTTACATCAGGGCTCAATCTTAACATATAGTATACTTATATCAGGGCTTAATCTTAACGTATAGTATACTTACATCAGGGCTTAATCTTAACATATAGTATACTTACATCAGGGCTCAATCTTAACATATAGTTTACTTACATCAGGGCTCAATCTCAACATATGGTTTACTTACATCAGGGATCAATCTTAACATATAGTTTACTTACATCAGGGCTCAATCTTAACATATAGTTTACTTACATCAGGGCTCAATCTTACCATATTGTATACTTACATCAGGGCTCAGTCTTAACATATAGTATACTTACATCAGGGCTCAATCTTAACATATAGTTTACTTACATCAGGGCTCAATCTTAACATATAGTTTACTTACATCAGGGCTCAATCTTACCATATTGTATACTTACATTCAGGGCTCAGTCTTAACATATAGTTTACTTACATCAGGGCTCAGTCTTAACATATAGTATACTTACATCAGGGCTCAACCTTAACATATAGTTTACTTACATCAGGGCTCAGTCTTAACATATAGTTTACTTACATCAGGGCTCAATCTTAACATATAGTTTACTTACATCAGGGCTCAATCTTAACATATAGTATACTTACATGAGGGCTCAATCTTAACATATAGTTTGCTTACATCTGGGCTCAATCTTAACATATGGTTTACTTACATCAGGGCTCAATCTTAACATATAGTATACTTACATCAGGGCTCAATCTTAACATATAGTATACTTACATCAGGGCTCAATCTTAACATATAGTATACTTACATCAGAGCTCAATCTTAACGTATAGTATACTTACATCAGGGCTCAGTCTTAACATATAGTTTACTTACATCAGGGCTCAGTCTTAACATATAGTTTACTTACATCAGGGCTCAGTCTTAACATATAGTTTACTTACATCAGGCTTAAAATTAGAATACAGTTACACATATCAGGGTTAACAACTAATTCTAGTAACCAACAAACTGCTAGTAAGTGCTGCAGTTTTTGTAGTAGAACTTAAACGGTACTAAAAAACTTGCTTGTACACATTTTAGACGGAAGATTTGCAGACTGTTACCGTCAAGTATCAATATGCAGTGTCTTTCAGTACCTTGCAAGATTCTGACTACAAACAATTTCTATAATTATTGTTTTGTTTGTCAGTGCTGTGACAGTTTTGTGATCCCAGTTTTGGGCTGCATGGTGTTTCCAGGTTATGTTTCAGGAAATGGAGATAGCGAGACTGGTTGGTTGTCATGGCAATTAGCACATGGGCCAGCTAGCTAGACTCACATCATCTGGCCCATGCAGTCAGTTTTCTTATCAGTGTGGTTAGAAATACTGTCTCCTTTTACTCATTGTATTTAATAATAATATAGAAGTCGCATAAACTGCAGATTTTTTTTTGCAGATTCCACTTAAAGTGTTCGTGATTAACATAATTGTTTTGCACACTTGCCTCTAGTTCTTCGACAAGCTTTTGGCATTCAAACAGTAACTTTTAATAATAACAGACTTTTTTTATATAATGTGGCCATCAACGGTGGGATATTGTAGGCTTTGTTGATCCAGACACTCGTGGCCTAGATAAATTTTCTACCCAAACCAAGCATCTTTTGACATTCATGAAGTATTTTAAAATAATGGAACTGTTACATGTAATTAAAATGAGTTTTTATATTCAAAATCTCTTGAAATAAAACATGAAATGTATGCATATTTATTAATATTCAATGCATTCAGTGAAATAATGATGACATAGCTACAGTTAATTTTACAGAAGAATAACGTTGTTCTTTGTAGCAGTTCTGAAGTTGCTAGTGGGAAAAAAAAAACATAACTAGCTAGCATTTGCTGATACCATCGAAAGTTAAGGTCGAAGTCTAATACATATGTTAATATAAAAACAAATATTTAACTCAACAAGGTTACTCTTTTCTCATAAAAAAAAAAAAAGTAAGACAAAATGTGTTTAATGAAAATAATAGAAATGGCTTCTGCCCTCAATATATTTGAATCTTTTTCTAAGCAGTTATTTGGTATATTGTTTCAGATTATGCTGACGATAAGGATGATGAAGAGATCCGGCAAAGTGAAATAAGCAGTCAAACTTCAACTGTGAAGAGAGCAAAAGTTAAACGGCACGAGTCTCACTATAAAACCATCCGTTTTAGAGGAATTCCTACTAAGTGTGAAACAGAAACTGAAAAGGACAATCTATTTAAGGTGTGTACACGTACGTGATTCGTTCGTACTAAGAGGCCTACTTCAAAAATTGTAAATATAAGTTACTTATGCGTGTATAACGATTTTTACTTATATAAATGAATTAAATCTTGTGTTAAAAAATACTAGCAACTGTAACTGGAAATGCAAGATAGAATGATCAAGTGATTCATTCTGAAAGTTTTCAAATAATCAGTTTTTTTTATAATTATAGGAAAATACTTTGCACGTTAAATTTTGATACATAAAACTAGGATTAGATGTTCTTGATGAGAAGAATAAAATCTTATAAATTTCTCGAGGGCCTGCCTAATATATCATACTTTAATATTTCTATGAAGTGAAGTATTTAACTGTTATTTTATTTCTCTCAGTTTTCATGTTGTACTCTTTTTCTTGTGCATATTGACTCCTTAAACCTTAGCAGGCGCTCGCAGCATATGGCCAAAAATCCCGCTTCACCCATCAGACGATGACAGCATCTGACAACATTTACGTATCTTTGGCTGAAACTAATCCAAACCATGTTATTATCCATAAATTTAATAAAACCGAGATTTTATAAGGTATGGTGATAATTATTAGAAAATCATGAAAATAATTCTGGCAGAATTCGCAAATATTTATGGGTTTAAAGAATTAATAAAGTGTACATGTACACGTGTTGAGTAATGTTACTGTAACATTTCAAAGTTATTATATAAAAATGTTTCATTTTGGAACTTCTACCTTTTGTACTGAGATGTTATCATTCTTAATTAACATAATGAATGGACAACAAGGGACCATTTGATCCTTCAAGACTGTTAGTGCACACCCACCCTTGAGAAAAAGGATAACATCATAAACCCATCCTTTATTTTTTGGGAAATCATCAATTCCACGTTTTAAACCCTCGTAAAATGCCAGCTTCCACTACTGCTAATGGCAACTCATTCCATAAACCAGTCGCCCTATTAGAAAAATAAAACTATTTTAACTGAAGCCTAGCCTGTCTCTTTCCAAACCCTAAGCTTGTGCCCTATTGTCTTCACTTTATAGCACAAAGAAATCAGAGGATTTTATTCTCTTACCTTTCTTTTTTTTCAAAAGAAAATAAGTAAAGATCACTCTTCCTTCTCCAGAAACATCCTAGTAGACTTCTTCTGAACCCTTTTCAATATCCCTCAGTGGGTTAGCTGTAAGTTTATGGACTTACAATGCTAAAATCCAGGATTTGATTCCCTGTGGACACAGCAGATAGTCCCACGTGGCTTTCCTCTGAAATAAACAGACGAATCCTTTTCCATAAGACAATATCCTTTCTGAGATAAAGAAAGTAAAACTGTACACAGTATTTCAAATGAGGCATAACTAGTAGTTTGACTTGTAATCAGTGTGTCTGTAAGTACACCTTACACTCACGATAGTTAAAGGTCACTTACTAAATATTTGGCCCGGCATGGCCTGGTGGTTAGGGCACTTGACTCGCAATCTGAGGGTTGCGGGTTCGAATCCCCGTCACACCAAACATGTTCGCCCTTTCAGCCATGGGAGCATTATAATGTGACAGTCAATCCCACTATTCGTTGGTAAAAGAGTAGCCCAAGAGTTGGAGGTGGGTGGTGATGACTAGCTGCCTTCCCTCTAGTCTTACACTGCTAAATTAGGGACCCCTAGCGCAGATAGCCCTCATGTAGCTTTGCGTGAAATTCAAAAAAACAACTAATTATTTATTCAACTTACTAATTATTACAAACTACTCTGTAATACTTCAACACAGCTAGAAATATCCAAGAGCTTAATGCCACTAGTAACCTTTACTAATTATGCCCCTATATATATCATTAATCAATATAAAATATAAAAAAAAGTGCTCAAACACTGACCAATGAGGCACTCCACTGGTAACAAGGGTCTTGTATGACTTGATTCCATTAATAACCTTTTGCTTTTTTTTTTCACCCAACCAGTTTAATTTACTAGTCTTTCTTGGCCCCACCATTGATTTGATTTTCCTAGCTGACACCAAATTCAAAGTTTTTTAAAAATCTTATGTACACTAAGTCCACAGCCTTTCCATCATCCTGACAGCAAAATAAAAAAACATTATTGAAAAGTTAACATATTAGTATGGTTAGGGTTTACCTTTACCAAATTCACTTTGGTTCTCATTTGATGTCATATCTCACTACGTGATTTTGCAAAACTTTTTTTTTAATCAGACTCTCTAGAATTTTTTCAATTCCACAAGTAAGACTAACTGGCCTCTATTTTCCAGGATAACTGTCGTCAACTCTTTTTAAAAATAAGAATAACATTAACAACTGTCCAATCCTCAAGCACCTACCCACTGTTTATTGAACATAGAGAGAGAGACTCACATATCTGATCTTTGACCTATTTTAAAATCATGGGAAAAAAACATCTCATCCTTCTGCTTGATCCATTTTAATCTCTCTTTTTTTTACTATCAAGGGATTAATATCTGTATGATTTAGGTTACTCCTCAGAATTGGGAATATTTCTAACAAATTTTTATTTTTATCTTCATGTAGAAGCTTAAGAGTGACCAAGATGATGCACCCGAAGAAATTAGAGAAAAACTTCGAGAACTTCACCAGAATCTAACAACTAAGCGAGCTTTGAGACAACAACTGACTCGTTATGAAGAGCAGCAAGAACAAAACAAAACTATTTCCCTGAAGAACAGAATGAAGTTTGCAATTCAAATGGTAAAGTAACAGATAAGACTTCAATGAACATTTAATTATATTGTATCAATATTTTTTGTATGAATGTTGCATTTTATATTGTTGCGTCAGCGAGGTCACGTGACTAGTGTCACGCCCCCTGCTTTCTGGAAATATCTTGTACCTTCGTGAAT